TTTAATCATCCTAATATATATATATTATCATTTGAGAATAAGAGTTAAAGATGAGAAGGAAGGGATCTGGACTCTTGATCACTTTTAATCATCCTCTAATGAATTGCGTTTCTTACAGGAATTGATCCGATGCATCTCAATGCACAACATTAGAATTGATAAATTACCCTCCTCACCGGAATTGAGGCCTATGTATATATGCTGCAATTATTTCTGTAAATTTGTTATGTAGTTAGGTTTATTTCTCTTTTCCCTTTTCTTTTGTAGAAGGCAATTGAGGAGTTGTTTGATTGTTTTTATGTATGAGTTAGGCTAAATTGTTTGTTAAACGACATAAATGATCATTTTACCTTTGATGTTGATAGTATCATAATTATTCTTGAAGTCACCCACCCTTCGTAACAATATCTGGTTTGTCATGTAATTAAATTGGGTTTAGTTTATACTTAATGTAACAAAAATATTTTTATAGAGTAAATTATGGTTTTTGTTCCTTGTGGTTTATTAAAAGTTGCGGTTTCATACCTGTGAATTTGAAATTGTGTTGTTTATCCCTATAGTTTACAATCTGTTGCGATTTTTCGTCACTATGACTAACTCCTACTTTAAATGTGGACTAAAATAACAACAGGGACTAAAACCACAATAAATTTTAACTCATATGGACAGAAAAACAACAATGAATAGTAAACCATATAGATAAAAATTGCAAGGACGAAAATAGCGATTTTCTACAAACTACAGGGACGAAAAACATGATTTACTCAATTTTTATAAATTGATGTAACAAAGTTTTAATCTTTTTTTATTTTGTACCTATTGTCTGGTCCATATGATGATGTCAATACTCATTTATGGAAGGGTTACACTCATAGAAAATCGCACAATAGACTTTTTATCCATATCATCAAATGTTATAAAAATCGGTTTGTGAAACGTCATCGGCTTTGTAACAAACTTTGAACGGTTTGATCGGTTTGGTTGGTTTTAGTTTCATGGTTGTTGATTTGTCCGTGAATGCTTCCATGAAAGCCGAGAAGATTGATCTCTCGATCGTGGTGTATGGATTTGTTGTGCTGGTCCTTGGTCCACCCTTGCCATTTAGATCGACTGTAAGGAGTTTCGGGTTTATTCTAATTGGTTTTCCGTTGATGTTGATTGATTCGACTCCAATGAAATATGCATCTTCAGAGCGTATGGTGTTGGTTGTGATTGGGTACGAGAAGATTGGTGTGTAGTTAAGATGATCGGAGACGTAGATTCCCGGGATGAGATAGTACGGTTTGGCGTGGTCCAAGAACGCAACGCCGGGAGCCGACGGCGAGCCGGAAAGACACAATGCAAAAACAAAGGAACCGGCGGTGGTGCTAACCTGCGCCGGGAGTGAAAACTTCGAAAATCCGAAACCGGCTAAAGCAGTAATTTCTTTCTTAGCATGGCCATGCAGTAACCACGAAGACTCATCGGAGCAACTGAAGACGAACTCGGGGGGTCACGCCAAGTTGACCCGGTTTGCGTCCGTTGGTGATCGGTAATGCGAGCGAGTCAACCAGGACGGACGAGTTGTGTGGTAAAACCACACAACCACCACCGGGAAACACCGAGTCCCCAGTGCTCATATCACAACTGGTATGGTGATGAATAATTAAGGGAGACACAAGATACAAAATCGTTTTAAACGACAGACTTTTTCTACCAAACAAGATTCAGCAATTCAGAAGCCCGTCTCTTCAAACAGCCTTCTGTTAGCATGAAAACGAAATACGAATCATAAGCTTTGTTCATAAATCCTGAAAATACCAAAATATGCCCATTTTTTATGCATGTACGATTTTTTTTGTAACGAAAAGTCACAGATCTGATTCTAAGAAGCAAATTACGAAAAAAAACAATTAGGTTTTGAACTCACAAGTTTGATCAGAATTGGATTCATCGGAGAACAGGATCTTCGGTGAAGTTGAAGCCAGCGCAGTTAGTATTATGCACCAAAACCGACGAACTAAACCCTAATCTTTCCGACACCAGATCAAATTGCAACAAGTTATCCTCCATTTGATGTCCTCCAATCACCACCGACGTCCTCGGATCATCACCGCCATTAACAAACCCTAAGCACCACCGATCTCCATTTTCCGTCGCAACTTTCACCATCGAATTCGCTCCAAAAATCCTCCAAAACACATCGTCGCTATGCATCACAAGATCAATCGTCGGAAACGCAGGTCCTAATCTCGTACTCAAAACATCACACGCTGCATAACACACATCAAACGGATCCACCGGATCTGTTTCGGTGAGGTTGAGTGCTGCCGATTCGTTTATGAATGCTTTTGTGAATGCTTTGTAAATTGAGGTTTCTAAGACGGTGTAAGGAGTGACGGTGCTCAATCTGGTTCCACCGAAACCGTTACCGTCTATTTTCAAGAGGTTGTGGTTGAATTCTACCGGCTTGCCATTGACGGCGATGGAGGTGACTCCGATGAAGTACTCGTCGGAAGGTTGGCGGTTGTAGGTTATCATGGTGAATCCGACCGGGTTTAAAATGAGGGGTGTGTAAACAAGATGACTCGAGAGATCGATTCCGGGTGAAAAATAATATGGACCGGCGAAGTTGAAAAAGGCTGAACCGGGTAATGGACTTGATGGATTGGGAAGGCATAGCGCAAAAATGTTGGGTGAAGCGTAGACGCTACTAACCTGCGCCGGAAGGAATTAGATAAGGATTAAATCGGTATCATTTGCCAAAATATTTAATGAGTAAAAGTTTAATTTTAGTCTCTAATTTTTGTAACTTTTAATGGATATCATCTATAAATTTCAAGAACTTAAATTTAGTTCTTTATATTTGTAGATTTCCAACGGTTTTGACCTTTGTGTATAACGATCGTTAACTTTTTCCGTTAAGTTGAGTAAATCAAGGGCTTTTTAGTCATTTTCATTATTTTGATTTAAATAATATAACATGTTATATTTTTTATTTTAAATTGTAAAAAGTGCTTTTGGTTTTTCTGCTCTATACTTTAAAATTAAAAATATAATATGTTTTTAATTTTAATAAAAAATTAAGAAACCAGTGAAAAAGACTTAAATTTCCTTTGTAAAAAGTTAACCACCATCAAACAAAAAGAAAAAAACCATTGGAAATTCACAAATATCAAATATCAAATCTAAATATTTGACATTTAAGAATAATATCTATTGAAATTGTTTAATTTTAATCTAGAGCATTTTCTATACATTCTTTAATAAAAGTGCAATTAAAAAGTCAACCTCTTGTTTGAACTTAATTTTAAACTAGAGCATTTTCTATACATTTTTTAATATTTTTTTTTAAATTAAAATATCAAAAGTTAAATTTAAAAAAAAAAAGTCAACTCTAATATTTTTTTATATTTTTTTGAAGCATATAATATTTATATACTTCAAATAAAACAAATAAACTCACATCCTCTTTACATTTTGTGATATTTGAACATTTGACTTCTTAAAAGACCAAAGACTCGCATACCGCTAGGCCAATAGCCCTTTGGTTTTATATTTTAGTATTAGTTATACTATTAAAACAGTTTTATTTGTGAAAATCAAGATTTCTATTAATCATTTAATTTTATGGCGTTCCTCTAATCTGGAGCATTTATCATATATCACATAATTTCTCCATTTTAAAGAGTCTTTAGGAACAAAAGACTAGCATAAATATCCTTAAAATCTTCGTTTTATCTCTTTTTGAGAATACGTAGAGGATGCTCTTGATGATCCGTACATTTTTTTACGGCCTGTTTGGTTAGTTTTTCATTAAGTCATGCATCAATAAATTCATCAATATGTATAGATTGGGAAGATTGTTTGTCATAAAGAGGTTTTCGTTGATGAAAGAAACGTGTTTTTTAATTTGAAATGACAGATTTGGAAAGGAAAAAAAACTTGGTTTTCTCTATAAAGCTCCCCTAAAAATTTACCGAATTAGATATTTTCTATATCATTAAAAACACTTGTTTTTCAATACCGAACAGTTATATATAAGTGACTGAATAAATTGTATATTTCATGTATAAAAGTTTGTACTTTGCATTATAAGATCCATGTTATAAACGAGAAGGAGTGATAGTGAAAACTAATAAAACTATAGGGGCCTAAACCGCCAACTTTGTTACTTTACTACAATATTATAACTCAAACAGGATAAGAACACTAACCTGCGCCGGAAGCGAAACATTAGACCGTCCCAGACCGGCCAAACCAGAAACTCCCTTCGGTAAGCCCTGAAGCAAAGAGTCATCGGAGCAAGAAAGGACAAAATTAGGAACAACGCCTAGTTGACCGGGGCTCCGACCATCGGTACTGGTCAAAGCGGCTGAATCAACCAACGCCTGCGCTAGAATACTGTTCCGAATCACCGGATTCTCCGGGAATAAACCACATGAATTGTTATGGCAACCAGGACCCGACGGTCGGAAACAATTTGAGCAAGCGATTGAGCCGATTGAATCACAGAGATCGGTACCGCAAGGGATGTAATGGTGAGTTGTGGAGGTGTAAACACCGGTAGTGCAATCGATCCAGCTCAATTTACCACCGAGATCGAGAATCAAATCGGCGGATTGGAGAGGAGTTCTGATGAAGATGGAGATGATGTAGAGCTCTGTCGATTCGTCTTTCTCGACTGGAGCTACGAAAGCTGTAGAAGATGAATCAATGAGATTGAAGGAATGGAAGAAGATGAAGACGAAGACGAAGAGAGTGAAATGGAGAAAAGACATTGGGTTTTGTTGTGGAATTGAATTCTGAGGGTAAAAAGAAGGTGAAAAATGGTGGAAAAGGGTTTATGGGAATCTTTATGAGAATCAACAAATATGGAAAGTGTATTTATTAAAATGTATATTTAAATTGTTTAATTTGGATAAATTTGTCATAATTAATATTGAGCATAAATAAATATTATTTAATTATTTTAATAATATAATTAATGTTATAATTTTGAAATATATAATATTTATTACAGTCAATTGTAATTTGGAAGATTCCATAATATAATATTTGTGTTTGTGTTTAGTTTAGTTGAATACTAAGGTGATAGTTTGTGTTTATAAGATATGTTGAAATCTGAAGTCTGATTTTATTTTTGATTTATAAGAGGTGATCTTGAAGTCTAAAATCTAGATCAGTAAGATTGTTTGTTTTTATATCTGAAATCTGAATTGGTCAAAATAGTGCAAAAAATATGAAAGATGAATAGTTTTTTTTATAAAAGTATAAAATATGAATAGTTTTTGCTAACAAATCTCTTACAGCTCCCAAAATATGAAATTTTAAGTGGTAAATGTACCTCTTAATCTTAATTCGTCATCTATCACATGGTGAGCTTTTAAGCTCTTATTTTAAAAAATAAAACAAACACTCTTAATACCAAAACGTTTAAACGAATCGGACTTAAGAGGTATTAAGAGGTAATTTTGAAAAAAAAACAAGTTCTAAGGGGACGTTTGGTTCGTAAAATAGAATTCGATGTAATTGGAATTCATCAAATGAATTTGACTTTGAGGAAATGAAATGGAATCTGATGGAATTTGACCTTGTCTTGTGATTGCGTTTGGTTGCATAGAATTGGAATGGAATTCTTAACGGAATTGAAACTTTTTTGTTTGGTTCACTGAATTCAACTTTGGAATTGAAATTAAATATCAACAAATGACCTTTTATGATTTTTTTTCATTTAAAAATAAAATAAAATTACCATTAAACCAAATTACATTATTAACATCAGATAAAATTTGAAATTGTTCACTTATATTAATAATATCTGAAATTGTTCACTAAATTTTGTTTAAAGAAGCGATCGGTGCCCTAATTTCATTCAATTTGGGATCGAACCAGAGAGCGATTGAAAATCGAATCAGAGATTGATTGAAGATCGAACCAGATTGGCGATCGAATTTTGTTTACGAGAGAGAGAGAGAGAGAGAGAGCGTACCTGGAGATCGAACCAGAAATGCAGTAGATGAGATGGTAGATTCGTTCAATGAATTTGGATTAGAAGATGAATCTGTAGGAAAAGAATTGAAATCATAGCATGTTGTCGTGGAATGGTGAAATCTATGCATGAAGGAATTGATCGGAATTGAAATGATTCCATGATCTTATTCCATTGAACCAAACACTCCATTTGGAATTTGGTCAAAGGATTAGATATTCCAATTTCTTTCAATTCCTTTCAATTCCGATGACCCAAACAGCCCCTAAATGTAATTGGTGTCTAGTGCATATCTAATGCGAAATTCTTATAAGTAAAAAATATAGTTTTTTTTTTGTAAGAATCAACATTGTAAATAGTTTTGTTGGGTCACCGATGATTTGTTGATAACTCTTCATATTATATTTTCACACCATTAGGATGTGTACTTTGAAGTATTTTGGATATTCAGATAGTTTGGTATCAACCAAAATAGTTCGCGACTCAAAGAGTATTCGATATCAAATAATGTGCAACAACCTATGCGGGTCAGGACGTATCTTTCAATTTGTGCACCAAATTTTCTTCTGCCGATTTACTTAACCGTGTCTTCTTGAAGAAACATTTGCAGCAACCCTTTTCTTTTACAAAATCTCACCAACGTTTTCCTTTGAAAAATATATTGTCTGAAAACACCTATAAAGACATGTTTGTCCTTATCTTGCTCTTGACACGACATTTCAATAAATGACATAAAAGTGTTTTAGAGACGAGTCATTTTCTTTGGTACAGTGAAAGGAATGCTCGGAGGAGTTTCAAAGTCAAACATGACATCTTATCCCCAAGTGACAAGCGTCTCACGCATTTAATGCACATTGTGGTATTTTAGTGCAAAGTGATTGCACCGTCCAAGGTTACGCTTTCAAAAAGTTCTCTACGTGATATAGCAAAAATCGACAGCTCCCTCGAAATGCATAAAAGTTCTTTTGTTATTTGAGTCATTGTAATCTTAGTGAAAGATTGTTGTGACGTATCTTAATTTGTTGTATTCCACATCAATCTTGTTTTCTAAGTGTGATTTTTGATCTTGAATCATCAATAGTTAATTTAAGTAAAAATTGTGTGTTATTGTATTCAACCCCTCGTCTACAATAACCTTGCAGGGTTTGCCATATTATTTCAGGACTAACAAGTTTTTATAAGAACTACCCTATTTGAGTTCTTTTATAAGAACATTGGTTCTTACCTTAAACTCGGGATGAAGTGACAATTTTCTAGTTACTATTAACTTTCGTGATTATCCAATATATAAATATATATATATATATATATATATATGTGGGAACAACAAAATAGGTTATTGTAAAAACTATCATGGTGGAGTTTAATGTAAGTTATTTTATTTGGTAATTTGGAAATGGTTTGACAAGGAAAAAAAACATGGTTTTGTTGGAAATTAACATTATGTATCTTAATATTGATATATCAGATAAAGTGAACAACTGGTTTCGTACCTGTCGTGGTAATATTACTTATTTAAAAAATAAAATAGTTATACCTTTTATTTACTTAAACATAAAGATTTTACATTAATCTTTCTAGCTGAAGACCTTCAGAACATCTCCAATGGTTATAGAAGAGAAAAATAATGTTTTATTAAATATATCAATTTTTTTGTTTTTTTTTTGTGTGTGTGGATCAGTTGCTAGTAGATGTTCATCGGCGGGACGACTCGTTAGCCCCGACCTATCTGACCCGTTAGAAATACAGGCTTGGACAACCATTATCGAGAAAATGGACGGACCCTTGTTTGTCGTTAAAATTAATGAGCGGATATGGACAATGTATAAATAAACATGGACAAGCCCGTTCAGTCCGTTTATATTTTTTTAATTAATATTTTTTACCATTAATTAAATTATAATAATATATTTTAAAATCAAATTATTAAAGTTATAAGATGAAACAACTTGGTTATTATTGAGAACCCAAAAGGCCAAGGGGTTGTTTTTTTTTCTATTTTTTTCTCCACTTGTTGAGATTCATCTGCCACTTTAGTTGCTTAAAATTTTAATTGCAACAATGTTTTTTCTTTACTTTTTGATTCCACATTTGTTAATTAATTGTTATTAAAAGTTTATAGATTTATAAGAGGTACACTTTTTAGGCTCGTTAGTTCGTGGACAAGCCCGACCTATTTATGAGACGGACAATTGTCAAGCCCGAAAAAAGCTTGGTTTTACAACATTAGGCCCGTTGGACAAAAAAACAAGTTAGGCCCAACCGGGGTCCAACTCAGGTCTGCAAATGATCACCTCTAGACTCTAGTTGTTAGTCTCTGTCACTGAGTGAACAAAAAATATATGAAATTTAGGGGGGTGTTTGGAATTGCTTATAAAAATAATTTATTGACTTATTCCGGTGTGACACCGGTAAAAATCACTTTTGAGTGTTTGAATAAACAACTTATAACAGTGTCAAACTAGTAATAAGAATTTTTTGAAGAAGTTAAAACATTATAACTTATAATAAGTTAATAAACACTTTTATTGAAAAATATAAGTTGTTTCAAATAAACAATCCCAACTACCCTTTTAATTTATATAATTAATGTTATAATATTTTAAATAAAAAAATTGTTAAAATTAAAGTCGAATTTAACTTTTTCGGAAATTTTAATTTTTGGCTCTATTTTTTTACATTTTATGAAAACTCCAATGGAAATGCCGTAAAAGGGTGAGAAGTCAAAGCCCTAAAACCCTCCATGTGCTCACGCCATCGGCCGGCAGCTAATCCTTGATATTTTCCATTATCTCCGGCGATGAACCTTGTTAGGTATGTGAAAAGTTGTCTACATTTTGATATTCCTTTTCTTCTTTCCGTGTGAATTTGAGTGTTCGTATGCAACGATTGATTCCATTTATGAACAGGTGTTTGATGAAGCTCAACAAGGAGCTTGTTTCGATCGAGCTCAAGAACCGAATTGTTGATGATGGGACCGTTACAGGTTTCAATCTATTTCTTCACTCAATTATGCAGAAATGTACAATTGAACTCTTACGTTGTAGATATTTTGATTTCGCTTAAATGTGCTTCTAGTATCACTTCGTTATTAGGGTTTAGTTCAGTGCTTGGGCATCGTTTTGTTCACTAATTGTTGTATGCCTTTTTCCGTTCATTGATAAGTAAACGTGCACTGATTGTTGTATGACTTTTTCCCATTCACCGATAAGTAGGCCTTAGCTCATGTCTGTATTAGGGATCTTCATTCTTTTAGCAGGTTTGTCTTGTGATTTATGGTGTCTTTGGTGTTAAACATGAACTGGAAAAAGGAATAAATTGATTAACAATATCTAGAGTGTATGATTTCAATGGTACATTTCTACGCAATTAAGTGAAGAAATAGATGGAAACCTGTAATGGTTCCATGATCAGCGGTTCGTAATGGTTCCATGATCAACGGTTCAGTTTTTGGGGCTTTGGCTTCTCATCGTTTGACTAGGGTTTTTGCAGGGGTGTTTATCGGTTGAAATCCAGTGAATTTAGGTGGATCCGATCCAATCATCCAATGGATGTTGGATTTTGTCATCCGATCCAATTGGATGTTGGATTTTGTCATCCGATCCAATCCAACTAACACCAGACATCTGATTCAATCAAATCCAATGGATGATTGGATTGGAGTTCCATCCCTTGGATATTATAATTGGTTATCCATTGGATCGGATTGGATCTATCCAATATTTTGATACAATTTTCAACCAATCAATCAATCATTTCAACCAAATATTCATATATTTTGTTAATTTCATAGAAACCACTATGTATAACTATCAACTAAAAGATAATATCGTAAAATGTTAATAATTATATATAGTTATTTGGATAGTAGTTGGATGATAATTAGATATGTAATTGGATGGTCGTTGGATTGGATTGGTTCGGTTTTATTGGATCCTGAACTGCCATCCAAGAACCCACCAATCCAATTTGGATGTTGAAATTTTGGCTCCGATTTGGATGATAATTAGATGTGTGATTGTGAGATTTTTTAATATATAATATGAATGATAAATGATAATTATGTACAAGACATGGGACTTGAATAAACTTAAAAAAGAAACTTAACAACTAAAAGCCTAAATAGGTAAATACTTATTGTCATTCCCATACACAAAGAGTCGAACATGAATTCTTTGAAAATTCAAGAAAGTTGTGAGTTGAGATTCAAGACATTTAATCCTGATTTGCACCATTGATACCATTTTTTATCAGCCCTATATATTTCGTATCAATGATTCTTCTTTGTTTTTAGTTTTATTCCTTTATATAGCTTAATTTATTTTACGTTATTATTCAAAACATAACACATACACAAGTGTGTGTGTGTGTGTGTGTATCACCGCCTTAGGGCACACCTTAAAAAACACCGTGGCCTCGCCGTAACCTGTAAGGCTTAAGGCTTGACTTCATGCCCATGCCATGCCTCACCTCATGTCATTTAGAAGCTTGATAAATATATAGAGGGTTATTATTCACAATCAAAGATCCTTCATATCTTTATTATCCAATTCATAAATCATTTTGACTTTTTGCATGCTTTTATGACCCCCATTCCATTTGCAAGTGAAGGTAATACCCCTGTTTGTTAGCAGCTTAATGAGCTTAGTAAGACTCATAGCTTATTCGTTTAACTATACATAACTGTTTGGTAGTGTCTTAATGACATAGAAAAGTGTCTTATTCTGTAATCTTCTGGAGGGAGCTATATGCAGAAAGCTAATTCTTTTCCAAACTTGTCACTGCCAATTAAAAAACACACTTCTTTTGTCTATGAAAAAACTCTCCCAAACAAAAACCTTCCCAATCTATTAAGACAGATTAATCCACAAATACACAACTTTATCCATACATGACTTAATGAAAAACCAACCAAATAGCCCCTTAGACAACAATCATTTTAGGTGGTCAATATACTAACAGTTAATTATCTTTGTGGATTGTTCATGCCTTTGTCCTTGAAAAATTGAAGTGAAGCTCTATGCGAAGTATCCATTGACATTTCTCGTAGTGCATTGAATTCTTGCACCCTGATTAGAATCCGTCCTTATCGACATGTGCAGGTGCGGATATTAGTATGAACACACATCTGAAGACGGTTAAACTTGCACTAAAAAAGAAGAATCCAGTGAGTTTAGATCACCTAAGCATCAGGGGCAACAATATTCGATCGTATATATTCTTCATTCTGAAATTGGGTAATCTTGAGGTTAGTACTCTTGGCATGATTCAAATTTTTGTCTGATATGGTAATTTGGTTACTTGTCTTAATTGATTTATTTTAGTAAATAAATACCCTGTTACGAATCAGTCAACGTAAACTTTGAAACACATTAAAGTAGCAATAGTTGAAATCATAGTTGTTAAAAGCGTGTCCAGGCTCTGAGGCTCATAAGGCTCAAGGTCTCGGGCTTTGTTAAAGTTGAGGTTAGACGTATTCACGAGGCTCACCAAGTCACTAAGATTAGGTATTTAAAGGTCTTAAGCCCTGGCCGAGGCGCCTTATGTGATTAGGTGCAGCTCACAAAGTGGTATTAAATACCTATTCAAACATTGATTTTAAATAAGTTTTCTCATCTTCTCATCTCCTAGATTTCTTAAACAAAGAGCTATTATATAGATGACATAAGTTAAACCCTAATATTAAATACCAAGACCTTAAAACTTCTCCCTGACGCACATGTTTTAAATCCTTCTCACTTCTGCCTCTGTCAAAGTATTGTTGGTTGCTGCACTGGAGGTCTGTACTTGCAACATATTTGAGTTGTGCGTGACTGTGTGTGTATATATATATTAGAAGGATACTTGCGCAATGCAGCGAGATACATCGAGATAATATTTTGTTTTGTTTTTTGTCTCTCTCGATATAATACGGTTTTATGTGATTTTGAGAAAACGATAATGGTTTTATTCATAAAAAAATGAAAAAATATAGCGATATTAGTTTAAATTAACTTTTTAAAATTCTCGTTTTTTATGTAATTTCTTTAATTCAAAATTTTTATCATAATCTAATTAGGTTTAATAACAAAGTAATTTGTTTTTGGTTTAATAATATAATTTTTATGAGGATAATAATTAAGTATTTTGTTATAAGTATTATTCAATAATTATCCTAATTATATTTTAGATTTTTTATATTTAAAATGAGATGTTTATCCTGTAGTTGATTATGTTTATTTGCATTTAGTTACACGAATTCAAACATGGAGCTTTAATAAGTTGTAATTACGCACGATTTATTTATAACCTCAAAATTTTAAGTAATATGCATTAATAAACAATATTTCATGCATAAAAATTAATTTTTAAAAGTATTTGTCAAATGTTTTATGATATAGTATAGATATAGAGGGAGGTTCAGAGGAAAACATCCAAAAAAATGAAAAGCTGAGGAACATTCTGATAACCATTCATTTGGATAGTATGCACACGTGCATAAAGTAATTGAAGCTATTTTTTGGTTTTTATGCATATGTGCAAAGTAATTGAAGCTATTTTTTGGTTTTTATGCACATGTGCTTACTGGACGAATTGCTACAAATTACTTGTATGCACATGTGCATACCGTTCAAATGAACGATTACCAGGGTGTTCCATAGTTTTTCATTTTTTACGGTATTCTCCTGAATATATATACATATATATATATATATATTTATATATGTGTGTATGTACTTTTTTTATAAGATGCGCCTCACGTCTAGGCCCCGGGACCCCCTCGCGTCTAAGCGTGTCTTGAGCCTTTAAGAATTTTGGTTGAAATGGTACTACTTTTGGTTTTTAAAAACCCAATGTTTGAAAGTGTTGTGTGTGTTTGGTACATGGTCAAGTTGCAGGAAATAGTAGATGTCGGTCCCATGCATTTATTTATGTATTCTTCGTTTAAAATATGTCATATTTCTTCAAAGTCCATGTATTAATGAACATTCAATATCCATGTCCATTAGAGATAAATATTGTATAGCCACTTCACTTTCCACGATGATGCATCACTTCCACATAATTTTCTACATCAACCAATCATTTTACCATCAACTTATATCGGTTGTCGGACTGCTAAAATAATTAAATTTGTAGGGTTGGAATTTGTCCTGGCAAATATTCATTTTTTAACCATTTTTCAATTAAATTTCCATTTTATATGAAGTTTACTTACGTATTTATATAAAACCTATTTTCAGGTTGAAAAAAATCTTTATGCAAATTTGCGTAAGGATCCTCATTTGCATAAAGAATTTTCGTTTTCCTCTTATTTAAATTTAGAAATAGGCTTTACGCATTTGCTAAAACGGGAATTCGATGTCAAAATGGCTAAAAAGTGAATTTGATTGAAAAGATTTGTTCAAGTCTATTTTCTTTCATGGTAACATAAAAAAGCCTTTAGTCTGAACATTACACTTGTATATTGTAGGTTGAATTATGGTGGTGTTATATGCATTCATATTTATATCAAAATCATATCAAATCATACATTGAAAATGTAAAATATAAGTTATGATGTTGATGAGGAGGAAATTAGTCGGTAGATGTGCATTTAAACATAGGTATGTATTCAGCCTACTCCTTGAATCATTTAGTAAAGTATCAAGTTAATCGTCATGTTGATATGATATAACAAAATAATTAAATTTGATTTAGCTAGGCTTGGGTTTCTTTCACATAGTTGGTTGTTTCTCTTGCTTTTCCCTAAACCCTAAACCTTAGACACATTTATCATATCTTTTAACATATTTTGCATGTCATCCGGGTCTTTATGGAATCAAATGCTCTACTTTTTAGGGGTAGAGGTAAGAGCTGCCTACGTACTATCCTCTTCAGACCCTAAATCCCAGTCCTCACCTCCACCACGTGGCATGGTGGGATATAATGATTTTGTTTGGTTTAAATTTCTTGTTAAAGAGATCCAATGATTAAATTCATGCTCTTTAAAATATGAACAAGAACCCAATATGATTTGAAGTTGGTTTTTAAAAATTAAAAGTTTTGAAAGTTGATTTCTTAAAATTTAATCGAAGACAGTTAATTTCGGTTTGATAATATTTGTTTTTAATAGTAAACAAGTTTTCACTAAAGCCATGATTGACAACAATAATTGGACTTAATTTTTGAGTTTATTGGAGTATCTTCAACAATTTTGCTATAATTTTTCAATAAAAGAAAATGAAATTTCAAAATATCGAACATAAATTTACATCCAACTCCAACCACTACTATATTTTAGTATTTCTAACATTAGCTACGTTGTAAAAGATCATGTGAGAAGGGATGTTACGTGTGAGAAGCATAATAAAAGATCTAAACCATATCACTTTTAATCTGATTTCATCCATCAGGTGCATCTTGATACATGGCATTACTGTTGACATTCATTTATAATTGATCCAACGATGAAGATCTTTTCTTATACGTCAAATATAGTGTTTATATCTCATATAAATTATGAAAAAAACCCCATCCTTTCAGTTAATTTTATTATCAAATAATTTATTATCTTGAAAGTGGAGATCTATTGAAGTCTTGTTTGAATTAAATTAGTTCGTACAGATATGGCCCACTAGTCAGGCCTTGTCAGATGCATTAAATTCAAATAAGATACGGAGCATCTAACTTCTTAGTTTTTACTGATTATCATGTACATGTAAATTCTGTTTCTATTTTGGAGAGGTTAATTTGTCTTTTTCATAAAAAAAAATTTCTGATCAAAGATAAAATAAGATCCATTTTATATCATATCTAAGAGATTCTTTGGTTTGGACCGAATAAGCAATATCATTCGATTCTTATCAAACTGACTGCATGTTCGTGAGGATCTCACCAGAATGCCTTTTACTTCTAATAGGCCACGAACTAGACCAGAATCATTCTCAACAAGTCTAAAAAGAGCGATCTTTTTTTTTCGTTATCACTCCTAACTCTAGTTTAAGTATTATTTTTTATTGTATTTTTTGTTTTTTTTGTTATTCTTATCTTTTGCTTTTTTATTATTTTAAAGAAATTTAATCTATATAAATTATTGATTTGTTTGTTGTTTCCATTTTTTGTTTT